CAAACGGGTCGGCCACACACATATCTACGGAATCCCATTTTGCCCGCAAAATTTCGAACGGAAAACTAACGTACGTGTGCGACGGGTCATAGATTTTATATGAACTTACTGCGTTCGGAATTTCGTATCGGAATATCGAAACGGAATCCCGAAACGGAATTCCGTATGTATGTGGCGGGCCTAAGTGAGGCATTTGGCGGAGTTTGACCGCCGTGCCTTTGAAAACACGTAGTGCCGTCCGTTAATCCTTCCCATGATCTCTCTCTGGGCGTGTCAGATTGCCGTCCCATCACACTATGATAGTGAGGGAATAGGGTGTGCAGCTGTGCTTTCGTATACACTCGGTCACTATGATCTCGTCCTGAACAGATGGTAAGTCTCCGTTGAGTCTGGCCACAGTGACTGAAAGTCGGTCTAGAAAACATTATATATTTAAAATCCGATACAGCATCAGCGCAAAGCTGCAAAGACCATTTTAGTTTAATAATACTTATTATAAATTAATTTTATTATAAATCTATTAATATCGACGTATACGATGATACTTGCGTTCTTTTTGTTGATGCTCTACTACCCTGAAAAAAAAAACTTTTTGATAAAGAATTTTATAATTTTAATTAAATTTTTAAGACATAATAAAATTTCTTAAAATTAAAATAAATTGTTCTAACCCCATAAATGCGACTTGTTCCTAGCAGTGGGACGTACTTAGGCTACTACTTTATTATCCCTTTACGTAAGATCCTCACTGCGATGTTTTAGGTGCAATTTTAAGTACTGGTAAATCAGTGCTCGGCGGTAAAATAGAATAGAATAATTTTTATTCGTTAAAGATTATTACATGATACCTACATATTATTGAAAGGTAATTTTTTATTTACCACTGGTTTGGAAAATATTTCTGTCCTGGGAAGAACCAGCAAAAAAAACTTGATAATTTTTTAAACATAATATTTTACAATTAATTTTTACTAATTAACCTCCCTCTAAATACACTCTTAGGAATGAGGGGAGGCCTGTGCCCAGCAGTGGGACGTATATAGACTGCAACTTTAACTATTTATAACTTTAATATTTATATGAATTATAATGAAACCAGCAGGGCAGCAAATAACGATTATTAAATAATTTTAATTTTAAATTAAAAAAATTAGTTTTATTTAAAAATGTGTAGTGTGCGTAAATATAAGAAATCATTAAATAACGATTACCTCATTTTCAGGTGTTATTTTCATTCATGTATTTATATGTAAATCTCTATCAGAAATTTTCAAGCTTGTTGATTAATAAACATTGAACATTACGAGTATAATAAATATTAATAAGAACATATACCTAATGAATAAATTACTAACTCTGTGGGATCTAATCTAGTAACTTGCGTATGTTTGTCCCTAGCGTTTAAAGTATAACTATATTTGTTCTTAATAAAGCTATTTAAGTTTTTATGTAAATAAGTTCGTTTTCATAAATATATTGCGATACTAGGACTCTTTACAATTTAAAGTATAAATTGCACATACGGCCCTCTTTTGCATAACAAATATAGTTTTAAAGTCAGTCTCGTTTCCCCGAAGAAAAATTCCCTAAGACAGTATGCTATGAAAGTAACTTAAATAAAACAATCTAGCTGTTTCGTGAAGAGGAAATATTATGTATATTTGAAGAACAAAATTATTTCCTAGACGCCTGAAGTCCGCCAACACGCACTGGAGCAACGCGCCGGGCTAATTACTCAGTACTTCAGTGAATAAACATAAGAATACTTTATCTTTTACATATGACCCTACTAGATGGCTCATTTTCTACCTAGAACTACGTTTGGATTGGTGCCTCCCATTTACTTATTTCTGCCGCCAAAAAATGTACTACACTAGTGCTGAATTCGATTTGAACGGTTAGATATCCAGCATAATTACAAGCGAGACATTTCTTCTTAATAGTTATTTCTTTTAAGGCGGTTAATAATAATAATAGTAATAATAAGAGGCCGTAGGACCCTGAACTGGAAAAGTCCGGGACCCGACGGACTGCATCACTACTGGCTGAAGGGGTTCGTGGTGTGTCACGCTGTACTCGCTCGACAGTTTCAAGAGGCTTTCGACCAAAAGTCGCTCCCGAGCCTCTTCACTACTGGGATCTCTCATTTGGTTCCTAAAGACCGTGATTACACAGACCCTAGCAAATACCGCCACATTACGTGTCTTCCCACCATATATAAGACACTGACATCCATTTTGAGTACGCGATTCATTCGTCACCTGGATTGTAATCAGGTGATGTCGCGTGCTCAAAATGGATGTCGGGGCGGTGGTCGTGGAACCAAGGAACCACTCCTCATTGATGCGGTCATTGGCAAAGTGGTTAAACGCAACCGTCGGAACTTCTCCGCCGCTTGGATAGAGTATAGAAACGCATTTGACTCGGTGCCCCATACATGGCTAAAGAGGGTCTTCGAGCTGTACAAGGTTGACTGTACAGTTAGAGACTTCCTCGGATAGTGTATGGGGCAGTGGAGTACAATCGTTTGTTATCTAGGAGAGCGGATGACGGATGCGAATAGCCACATATGGATAAGAAGGGGTATCTTCCAGGGCCATTGTTTGAGTCCAATCTGGTTTTGCCTCTCCTTGAACCCTCTCAGTACCTTACTGGAGGACTCGGGGGGGGGGGGGGGGGTTCAGCTTCGGAAAGGAGGTACAAAAGTGACCCACCTTTTCTATATGGATGATCTCAAATTATTCGCCTCCAATCGCTCCCATCTTACGGAATTGCTAAACAGCACCTGTGATTTTAGTAATTCTATTAGAATCGAGCTGGGGACGGATAAGTGTCCGGTCGTCCATGTCGAAAGGGGAAGGGTTGCTAACTCTGAGGGTATAGACTTGTCTATGCCCATCAGCATAAGGACCCTTTCAGAGGCTGAAACATACCGATACCTGGGTATGTCACAGAACATCGGTATCGATGAGGCGGGTATGAAGCAGTCAGTTTGCGATGTGTTTTATGTACGCTTGACCAAAGTGCTTAACAGCCTTTTATCATATAACGGTTGGGTCATGCCTGTTCTCATATATGCCTTTGGCATACTTAGTTGGACTCAAACTCAAACTGAACTTAAAGCTTTGGATAGAAAAGTCCGCACTACTATGACGTCCCATAGGATGCATCACCCGAGATCGTCGATTATGAGACTGTACTTGCCGCGGAAACATGGTGGGCGTGGCTTTTTAAGCGCGCTTACCATGCATAATCGCGAAGTGTGCAGCCTCCGTCATTACTTTCTGACCAGAGCGGATGATCCATTCTATAGGGACGTTATTTCTTGTGATAAAGGACTTACCCCTCAATCCTTAGCCAACGAGCAATGGTAAGACCCGGCAGTACAGAGCATTTCCGACCGGGAGACCGTATGGAAGGAGAAGGAGCACCACGGGAGGTTCTACAAGGCTCTACATGAGCCTTTCGTAGCCACAGTTGCCTCCCTCTACTGACTACGTTTTGGTGACCTCTGTCTGTTTTGTCTGTGCAATACAGGATCAGGTTATTAAGACCTACAACTATCGGAGACACATCATAAGGGATGGCACCGTCGACATCGCGGTGAGTCACTCAGGCATGTCATCTCTGGTTGTTCGGTGCTTTCTAACTCTGAGTACTTGCATAGGCATAACCTAGCAGCCATGATTCTACACCAGGAGCTCGCTCTGAAATACGGTCTTGTGGATCGGAAACTGCCTTATTATAAGTACCTACATGCCGGAAGCCGTGCTCGAAAATGACCGCGCCAGGCTCTATTGGGACCGGGCCATCATCACAGGCAGGACCATTCTTGCTAATAAGCCTGATATTGTGCTGAAGGACCGGGCACAGTCAAGGATATTTTTGGTCGACATTAACATTCCGTATGACGAGAACCTCGTGAAAGCCGAAAGAGATAAGCAAACTACATATCTGGACCTGTCACCTCACAAGGTGACCGACATGTGGGGTGGACTACCGACCGAAATTTTACCTGTAGTCGTTTCTGCGAACGGGTCATCTGAGGCGACTGGGTCTCCGTGACGGACCGCTCCAAGCGCAAATGCAGAAGGCGGTGCTCCTCGATACCGCTTCGTCCGCCGGTTTCTTTCCCTTTCTCCCTATCCCTCGGCCGTTCGATCTCCCCTGCCGAGTCAAGAAACATTTGGTTGGGTTTTTATTTATTTATGTATTTATTTAATTTTATTGATATTTATGTATGTTTATCATTTTCATTTACAATAATATTTTTATATAGCCCAACCATTTGGGAAACTATAGATATCCCATAATAATAATAATATTGTACTTTCAGCTACAGGATTAATACCAAAATATTTGCATCACTCTCTTAAGTTATTAGATTTACCGCCACATTTATACATTAAAATGCAAAAACCAGCTATTTTAGAAACATGTCGCTTAGTTTAAATTTTTTACAAATCCCAGAAAATGCTCTGAATAATATAACAATTAAAACCAGCAGATGATGGCTTAAAGCCCGTGTCAATATCAATAACGCCGTATATGGAGAAAAAAAAGAGAAAAGAATGAATAACAATAATGTAGATGCATACACTTATGTTTCTATGTGTCGTATTATGTATATATTTTTTTAAACTTTAGTGTTTAGCCTAGTGGCAGAATAAGAGTGTGCATTAATCCACCTCATACCGAGATGTCTCAAGAGTCGACATAGGGAAAAATACTCGGGAGATTTCTGATAAATCGTCTATTGGCAGATTATGATTGTCACGCATCTGCCAAAAGACTGTTTTAACATCTTGTATCTTAGACACTGCTTTCCATCGCCAATCTGGGGTGAATTTATATAAGGGTTACCAAGACTTACGGCCTTTTGTAAATAAATAAATAAATTAGATATAACGCAACCCATGGGATGAAATGCGGCGATTGTTTTTATACCACCATTAAAATTATTAAGAAAATCTTTATAATGCTTTTATTGTATTGTTTAGAGACTTGTCGTTATGTGAGAGGCGCCTGGTCTGAATGCGACTCCAAAACCAACATACGCTCAAGAACTTTGACGTTGAAAAAGGGCGACTTGTCAAACTGCGAACGCACCAAGACAATCCAGAAGAAATGTAAAAAAGGTGAGCAAGTAGAAAACTCCACATGATACTAAAATTTTAAGTTTTCTCCCTCGCACAACTTCCTTGTGGAATCAATTATCACCAGCGAATTTTCCGGACCGATACGACTTAGGAACCTTCAAGAAAAGAGCTTACACCTTTCTAAAAGGCCGGCAACGCATCTGCAATTCCCCTGGTGTTGCGGTTGTTCATGGGCGGCGGTAGTCACTTACCATCAGGTGAGCCGCATGCTAATTTGCCCCCTCTTCTATAAAAAAAAGTAAGACTGCACCGTAGCGTAATGGCCACTTGAGTATAGTAGTACCTAAGCATTGAGCTACTGAGCTGAGGGCGTCGGGTTTGAAGTGTTGCCCGCAATTTTTGAACCAGACAATCAAAGGCAGCACGTAAATTAAATCAATTTTTGTAACCACATCACCATTACAGTCCATCACAAGTCCACTGCTGAAGATAGGCCTCCTCCAAAAATGCCCAAAGCACGGTTGAGCTACCAGTATCCATTAACTTCCTGCATATTTTACAAGGTAGGTACTCCAAAGCTTATAATAATAAATAATAATATCTGAAATACAGATTTAGACATTGGTACTGCTATTCATATTATTATATTATGTTATGTGAATTTTAAAACAATCCCGTACAAATTTCGTAATATCTTAACTATTAAATTAGTCATCTTCTGTTTCTAAGGTAATTTTGACAAGATATTGCTCAAATTATTAATGAAAATGTGGTAGAAAGTACATGGTATGGTATTAAAAAAGTTACAAAAGAGAATGTCTATTTTATATTTATTTGTGACCCACGTAATATTTTATTTAGTTGGCTAATATTTTTTGTTTCGTATGTAGCCTGCCGCTATGAAAAGTCATCTTGGAGTGAATGCAGCCCTAATGGAGAGATGTCTAGAACCGATATGCTGAAAGCAAACAGTGACCCGACTTGTGATCAGAGCAGGCGCATCACTAAAAAATGTAACAAAAATAAACAAGTAAAGTCCACCAAAGATAAGGGTAAGTCTGCTTTTGAAAAAAAAAATTGTTGCTACCGAGTTACATTTTAATGTTCCTTTCCTAGTCATTGTGTTGCTTTTAAAATATTCAATATTAATTTCTAATAAAATAAATTAACACTAATTTCTGAAGAATAAATGGCGATTAACATTTTTGTTATAGAATAAGAATGTGGTAAGAGTGGGTACACAGTCCACCTGATGGTAAGTTGATACTGTGGCCCTTCGACTCAAAGTGTGTTATCCCCTGAGGATTAAGAGTAAATGCCTCGTATCTCGTAAAAAGATGTCTCTTTATTATTACATTTAAAAATCTAATCTATTTATCTATAATGTACGTCCTTTTTAACTTTTCAGGTCGCAGAAATCGCCAGTAAGGTATTGCAGAACGATGACGTCATTTTAGATTAAAATAATGTTTTCATTATATGATTGAAATGATTGTTCGTTAATTATTTATGTATTAGTGCCAAAATAGTGTCAAGTTATAAAGTTTTGTTTTAAATTTAATTGTATTTTAAGCATTTATTAGTAACAATATAACAGAACAATTAACTATATTTAAATGTACGAGTCGTAAAGTTAAAAAAAAACCTACCTAGCTACCTTTTTATTTTATTATTATAGATAAGTCAAATATTTGATATTAAATAAATAATTGAGTACTTACATTAGTTTATTGTTTCAATATATTATACACCTGCTGGGCGCATGCTTCCATTCATTTTGGAATTAATTAAAGAAAAGGAAAGTTACTATATAACTTAAAATAATATAGACTCTATATTATTTTAAGTTATCTCTCTATATTACATCTCTATATTATAGAGAATGGACAAAGTTACGCAAAGGCTCGCATCTCCTCTCGTCGGTGCACCGTTGCCAGCTTTTTTTTTTAAATAAAAAATACTAGTAATGCTGTTAAACATTACTAATATTCCCTTTAACCACTTCTGGTAAGCTTAAAATGCTTGTGTTAGAAGTGGTTCACGACAGTAGTCGAATGGCGGATTCGAACCCACGACCTTTCGAGTTCGCGGTCCGCGCCCTGCTATTAGGCTACTGACGCTTAAACCCTACCCAACCTTGCGAGACTATAAACCCTACCGATTTCCTAGTGTTGTGTTGCATGCTATGTTTTATAGCAAACAAACGAGCACACAGTCCACCTGATGATATGTGAATGCTTTGGCCTATAGCCATCTACATTTATCCTTAATTAAGAATCGAAATGCAGATGCGTTGTCACCCCTGAGGATGCCTCATGTCCAGTAAAAAGGGTCTCCGGTTCTCTACACTCACCACTATATGAAACACAGCAGCATTATGCTGCTATATTTATGCTGGTATTCTGTGAGAGCGTGATCCTACTCCGGTCGAGCCGACCCATTTATGCTATTACCATAATACAGCTGGTGGCTCTACCACGTAAAAGATGGTATGACGTGCTGACGGTAAGACAGACAACAGTACTTAGTTGATACGATTACGACAACTCCCCTGGAGTTGCAATTCATGGGCGGCGGTTGTGACTTGCTATCAGGTGAGACGCATGCTCGTTTTCCCTCTCTTATATAAAAAAATAAAATAATTTTACGAATTTTGTTGCGTTTGATTTTAACTTATTTATAGCTATTCGTTTGCGTTTCCGAAATCCGTAAAGTTACTTTTAATCAGTACGAAACCTATCCAACTGCAGAGAGGTGTAAGACAGGGTGACGTCATATCCCCCAAAACTCTTCACCGCTGCATTGGAAAACGTTTTCGAGCTTCTGGACTGGAAAGGATACGGTATCAACATCAATGGCGAGTACATCACTCACCTTCGATTTGCCGACGATATAGTCCTTATGGCAGAATCGCTAGAGGCCCTAAGCACTATGCTCAATGACCTCAATAGTGTTTCCCAACGGATAGGTCTTAAGATGAACATGGACAGAACAAAGATCATGTTTAATGTCCATGTCACACCTATGCCGGTAGTTGTTGGGAACACTAAGCTCGAAGTTGTTGACGAGTATGTTTACCTGGGACAAATATTCCGACTAGGTAAGTCCAACTTCGACCGAGAGGTCAATCGACGGATTCAACTCGGCTGGACAGCGTTCGGGAAGCTACGACACATTTTTTCGTCAGACATACCTCAAAACCTTAAAACGAAATTGTACAACCAGTGCGTGTTGCCAGTGATGACTTACGGAACTGAGACGTGGTCCTTCACAGCTGGCCGTATGAGGAAGCTCAAGGTCGCTCAGCGAGCTATGGAGAGGGCTATGCTCGGAGTTTCTCTGCGTGATAAACTTAGAAATGAGGATATCCGCAGTAGAACTAGAGTTACCGACACAGCCCAACGGATTAGTAAGCTGAAGTGGCAGTGGGCCGGCCATATAGCTCGAAGAACCGACAACCGATGGGGAAGAAAGGTTCTCGAGTGGCAGCCTCGTATCTGTAGGCGAAGTGTAGGGCGACCCCCCACGAGATGGAGTGACAATCTGGTAAGGCATGCAGGAAGTCGATGGATGCAGGTGGCTCAGGACCGTGCTTTGCGGCATTCCTTGGGGGAGGCCTATGTTCAGCAGTGGACTTATGAAAGGCTGTAATGATGATGATGATGATGACTTTTAATCAATATATATTAAAAATTATAAATTTTTCTGTCTGTTTAAATCTGGAGGTAGCCGTGGTTAACTATGACATTTATGCTAAGACAGACAACAGTACTTAGTTGATACGATTACGATCCAACATGAAAAAGTTCTGAGCAACCCCAACAAGAAGAAAAATATTCCATTCAGGACTTATTTTACTAAAAAGTTTCAGTGATTTATTGGTCATTTACCATATAATAAGATTGATAAAATGATTATGTACGCAAACTCAATTAATAAACAACTTTAAAAAAATCTATTTAAGTTATATCACAAAGTTATGCAGACATTGGAAATCTATTTACAATCACAAAAAATCTATTGTAAAACAAGCATTTACAGGCGTTGCTAGGGCCACCATCTGGGTATATCATCGGATGGAGGTTGGTACTGCTATGGTTATTACACTATAAGTCACATTAGAATGCCAAATATCTAATCAATTGGATGTGTGCAAGTGTTTTAAAAATTGATTACAATCTAGCTTGTAACCGCTATTTAGTTCGCGCGCGTGTACAATAAATGCACCTGACCGTTTCTTAAAAATTTAAGAATACCACTACGTTCTGCGGGCCAAACTATTAAAAATCGTGTTTGGACGTGAATCTATGATTCTAGCCTATCCAGAGGCTAGAATAATAGATTTCACCGTGATTCAAATGTGGTCACATTATAAGCTAAAATATCAACACAGTTTGATCCGCAGTCGAAACTACATATTATATCTGTGCTTCGGCTTGGAACTTTACTTGCTAGGATGCTAATGAACGTCCGGCCTAAGGCCTGTTTTTGCCGAAGCCGTAGCCGAAAGCTTAATTGTGCTTAAACATTTCTTCTAGCATAAGCAACAGGTAGAGATAACAATTCAATTTTCGTAATATTATATTATGTCCAAGATGAAAACATAAGTTGAAATTATATAAAATATTTTTATATGCTCTTATTAAGTGGCGAAGCTTGCGAAGTCACTTATTGATTTCACGATGTCTGTCCGTCTGTCCGTCTGTCCCACGATTATCTCGAGAACGGTTTCGAATTTTCATATTCTGTTTTCAGCAATTGATTACTGATCACCCAGGCATCTGAACCTCCTATTTTGAAACTGATTGCTCAACGGCAACCGTTAGAAACCGCTACAAAGCTGATTGCTTCGCCACTTTGCTATGCTGTTAGCTTGCTAGGTTTATTGATTTCACGATGTCTGTCCGTCTGTCCCACGATTATCTCGAGAACGGTTTCGAATTTTCAAATTCTGTTTTCAGCAATCGATTACTGATCACCCAGGCTCTGCATCTGAACCTCCTATTTTGAAACTGATTGCTCAACGGCAACCGTTAGAAACCGCTACAAAGCTGATTGCTTCGCCACTTTGCTATGCTGTTAGCTTGCTAGGTTTATTGATTTCACGATGTCTGTCCGTCTGTCCCACGATTATCTCGAGAACGGTTTCGAATTTTCAAATTCTGTTTTCAGCAATCGATTACTGATCACCCAGGCTCTGCATCTGAACCTCCTATTTTGAAACTGATTGCTCAACGGCAACCGTTAGAAACCGCTACAAAGCTGATTGCTTCGCCAATTTGCTACGCTGTTAGCTTGCTAGGTTTATTACATTTCATATGCTTTAGTATAATTAATGGGCATTCGAGTAATGAAATATTAAGTTAAAGTTATAGGACCCACTGCTGGGCACAGGTCTCCTTTATTTCTGGGAGAGTTATGAAGCTAAAAGTTCGTCACGCTAATCCAGTGTATTTATGTGGCAAGTTGCACTAGGATATTGTAGAAATTCGTGGCTTTTAAGATATCTTCATACATCGCCTCCACTATCTTATCAGGATGTGCCAAGGTTAGTGCATAAGCTATATGACCTTCAACGAATACCGTTAGGTGTATCTGAGTACAAGGTACGCAATCCTTGTCAACACATCTCGATTATGACCACATTTTTAATGACAGCCTTGACGATAATTTCGACACCCCCTTGGGGCACATTGTCGCGCTAACGGTAATAAAACAAGTAGACGAATCGAGGATTACCGTATCCTAAACGTCTCTTCAGACTTCAGATAATCCTATAATAACCTAGCGCAACTTGTCTTTGATATTTTTCAGCTCCAGGAAATTATCGTCAGTTTTCAGGGTTATCATTACAGCCGTTCACAAGTCCACATCTGAATAAGGCCTCCCCCAAAAAATACCACAAAGCACGGTCCTGAACCACCTGCATCCACAGACTTCGTAGATGTCGTACAGGTCGTCCCTATATCTAATGGGTGGCCGTCCCACACTTCTCCGCTACAAGGCTGCTACTATAGAACCTTGCTTCCCCATCGGTTGTCGGTTTTTCGAGCAATATGGCCGGCCCATTGCTACTTCAGCTTACTAATCCGTTGGTCTATGTCCGGTTACTCAGGTTCTACTGCGGGTAACCTAGTTTCTAAGTAAATAACACAAAAAACCTCCGAGCATAGCCCTTTCCATAGCACGCTGAGCAAACTTAAGCTTCCTCATACGGCCAGAAGTAAAGGACCACGAAGTGATTCATAAGTCATCACTGGCAACAAGCACTGGTTGTACAATCTCGGTTTCAAGTTTTTAGGCGATTCTGCCATAAAGACAAATCGAAGGTGAGTGATATACTCACCGTTGATGTATATACCTTATCCTTTCCAGTCTGGACTCGAAAGGCTACTGGTAGCCTGAAAACGTCTTCCAATGCAGCGGTG